ACCACAACTAACTGGTTATGGTCGGTTATTTGCAGTTACTAACCGGTTAGGACCGAAAAATAAAGAATCGGTTATAACAAGGCAAATATGCTCATATGTATCTTGATAGATATTATTTCTGCATATTCTAGCTTTAAAACGAGCCCAAGAACGCTAAAATCGGTGAAGAATTGACATATTTATGCAATTATCCTTGAAAGTCTACACATTTGAGTGATATTTTAGAGATTTGACTGTAACTTAGTCAAATTTTAAGTGTTTTCGACGTTCTCAAGTGCGTTTTGAAGGTGTATAATAGGGCTGGTTATAACCGGTTATTTAATGGTTAGTTAACCACAAAATAACCGGTTATTCCATTTTCGAAATCAACTAACCCTAACTGCAGTTAGGTTAGTGTTGCGGTTAGGTCCGGTTATTTTCCGGTTATTTTCTGGTTAACTAACCTAACTTTCAAACACTAAGTGGAGCACTAAAAAATGGTGAAAATGCGAAATATGAGACAAGGCAGACAGGTGTGGGAACTATTTACCGGATTTGATAGCAGCTGCTGTCAATTTCCATTTACAGATTTTTTTGATAGCAGCTGCTATAAAATCCGCTTTCGGATTTTTTGATAGCAGCTGCTATCACTTTCCAAATAGGGAATTTTGATAGCAGCTGCTATGGGCCACAGGTATGAGAACTCCGCCCTCTTCTGAACCACCATGTCTGATCTCAATCGCCCCCGCGAAAATCGTTTGAAAGGAAAATTCAAGGGATTACTCAATCATTTCATGGGAGGAGATCGCTCACATCATGAACGCACTGGTAGTCCGAGGTTGGAGTTCATAACCCCTACGCTGTGGATAGCATCCTGACAAGATCTAGGGCAATGTTTGCAAGGGCGCCTCGAGTTATGGGAGAGGGGACATCTCTGGTGTGTTTACAATGTGCAAACAAATTCATTGGCTCATAACATTGACCTTTGGGAATCCCAGAGTGTAATGCAGGGAGCTAACAACTTTGTTATGAGGGATTCAAGATTCTATGTAGCTCAAAAGGTGTGTTCCATGACAACAGCTTTGATGGTTGAACTGTTGATCAGACTTTTTGTCAAGATGGAGTTTCATGAACATGCCAGCATGGGCTGAGATGATTCAGTGTTTGTTCCCCAAAGACCAAATTCAAGTGCCTTATTTACAGGTCGTGAGGACATTCTTGAAAGGCTGAAGGATCACTTTACACCTCAAGATGAAGAGGATAGATGCAGAAAGTCATTCTTGTTGTATGGTATGGGAGGTATTGGAAAGACACAGATTTGTTTAAAGTTTGTTGAGAAGATGGCTGGAAGGTAAGTTCCTTCAGACACTATATTTTTAACCATATGAAAAGTACATCTAGATTTTCCCATGTTTTCTGGATTGATGCATCTTCTGAAGATAATATTGCTGTTGCTTTAAAGGGTCTATGTTCTCATCCTGATGCTAAAGCTGCTGGTATCTCTGCGTCTTCCAACTCTGCTCTTATCTGGATTGCATCTCTGCAGGGTGAATTGGCTGCTGGTGTTTGACATGCTGATGGTGCACCTGAAGTTGTAGAGAAATTTATTCCATCTGGATCTCAGGGCAATATTCTGATTACTAGCAGAAATCGATCTCTTGGGCATGTGGTATCTTATGAAAACTCTCTTGAAGTTGATCAGATGGCTGAAAAGGAAGCCATATCACTCCTAGTGAAAGCCAGTCATCTACCTGAGCTTCCAGAAAATTTTTATGGCATAGCTCAACAGATTGTAAATGAACTTTGTTGCTTACCTCTGGCTGTTGATCAAGCTGGAGCTTCCATTGAAGCTGGTCTCTGCAGTATTGATAATTATCTGGAGCANCNCTCCCAACATAGGAAGAAGCTCATGAATCACCCTTCATTCAGAGGGGCATCTCAGTACAATCGGACAGTCTATGAAACATGGGATTTGTCATTTAGTGAAATTGAATCAAGAGCAAGCCAGAGATCTAATGGGCATGACAGAGCAGCTGCTCAGGCTGCTATTCTTATACTTGAAACTGCTGCATTTCTATATCATGAGAATATTACTGAGGCTGCTTTTAGAAAGGCTGCTATAGGGTTCTTGAAAGGAAAGCATGATGGACTTGAAAAAAAAGTTGAAACCTGTGTCAATCAATTGCTTCAGCTGGGGAAAGATCAGACTTGGAATCAATTTTTCTTTCATGAAGGAATTAGGGTGCTTATGTCATTTTCTTTGATCAAACAGTACCCTACCTCTTCAGGGATTTATGCTGTTCATCCATTGATGCATCAATGGAGTAGAGATAGCTTGTCAACATCTGAAAAGAAGTGCATGATTCAAGTGTCAAAATTGATTCTTGTAAACAGTATTTCATATGGAATGTCAGTTGAGAACATTGCATTCAACAGGCTTATTGTACCACATATCAAAGCCAATTACCAGGCACATAAGGAAAATGGCTTCAAAAGGATGTTTAATGATACTGAATATTCTAAATTCAGTTACGTATTTTATACAAATGGAATGTGGAAAGATGCAGAGGATCTTGTATATCAAATAGTGAAAATGAGGAGGAATAAGGAAGGGAAAAAGCATCCATTGACATTGAGCAGCATGACAAATCTTGCAGTCATGTATCTCTACCAAGAAAAATATGAGCAGGCTGGGGATCTGACACTGAAAGTCCTGGATCTGCATAAAAAAGTGCTGGGGCCTGAACATCCAGATACCTTGACCAGCATGGCAAATCTTGCAGTAATATATGCAGGACAAGAAAAGTATGAGGAGGCTGTGGAGCTGAAGTTGAATGTTCTGGATCTGCGAAAAAAGGTGCTGGGGCCAGAACATCCAGATACCTTGATCAGCATGGGAAATCTTGCCAACATATACTCAAACCAAGGAAAATATGAAGAGGCTGGGGAGCTGGACCTCAATGCTCTTGGTGTGCGTAAAAAGGTTCTAGGGCTAGAACATCCACATACCTTGGCAAGCATGGCAAATATTGCAATGGGTTACTCATACCAAAGAAAATATGAGGCTGCTGGGGAGCTCATGTTGAAAGTCCTGGATGCATATAAAAGNGGTGCTGGGGCCAGAACATCCACATACCTTGACCAGCATGGCAAATCTTGCTAACATATACAAAAGACAAGGGGGATCCTCA